ATAAATGATAAAAATTTCATATGGGTACAATCTTGCATGACCGCGCAATTGTCAATCAAAGTGCGACAGCACTGAAAGCTGAAAATTGGCCTGGTACATAAGGGGGTATAAGTGCCCGGTAGGCGAGGGGTTAACTAGCAAGCCCTGAACGCTGGACATGACCTCCTCATAGTGACAAGACCCGGAGTCCTCCATGTACAAGCTATGATCTGTTTTGTTGCCATAAATATTATTAAAGTACGGGAGCACCGCGGGGCCTCTGCGATTCATTTAACCATTTGCCTCTTCTGATGATTTACCCCCCTTCCTGACCAGGCCATCTTTTTTCACGATACGGTGCTTTGTTAATTTAACTGACAATTGCGCGGTCATGCAACACTGCACCCAAATGAAATTTATGTCCTATTTTCCCCACAAATGGAGCTTTCTTTCGGTGGTATTTGATTGCCTGTGAGTTTTTTTTAAATTTTTTGCGCTATAAACAAAAAAAGACCGACAATTTTGAAAGAAAACAGTATTTTTGACTTTTTGCTATAAAACATGTCCAGTAAAAAAATGCTAACAGATCAAATTTTGTCATATTCTGCAACATGTCTTTGCTATAAAAAATCCCAATACGGGTAAATGAATTGGTTTATGTGAAAGTTATAGCGTCTACAAATGGCGGTATTGGCTAGAATTTTTATTTTTATTTTTTTTATACTAGTAATGGTGGTGATCAGCAACTTATAGTGGGACTGAGGCGGGCATTCTGACACTGGTGAGGTGGGAACTGACTGCCACTGACATCCCCAGTGACACTAATACAGTGATCAGTGCCAATAAAAAGCACTGACACTGTACTGATGGCACTGGGCAGGAAGGGGTTAACATCTGGGGCGATCAAAGGGTTAACTGTGTGCTGTTTTACTATTTTGTCTGTGTGTGCTTTACTGTGTAGGCACACTGCTTTGTATTGCTCTCATATGCAGAGCAGTACAAAGCAGTGTGCTGGTGCTAACAGGGGAGAAATCTGTATTGTTTATACAGACCTCTCCCCTGTCCAGGGGCAGACTGACAACTCATTGGGCCCCCGGGCAATAGGGGATCATGGGGCCCCTGTGTCCTTGCCCAAACTCAAAAAAGCCTATGAAAAAGGTACCAGGGGTATCTCATGGGGCTCCCTACTGACCCTGGGCCCTTGGGCAGTGCCCGAGTTTCCAAATGGTCAGTCCGCCTGTCAGTGTCAGCAATCACCGGGTGCCGGCAGGAAATCTTCGAGCAGGACCCAGTGATTGACAGCTGTAGCCAGGGGCGGACTGACAACTCATGGGGCCCCCGGGCAATAGGGGATCATGGGGCCCCTGTGTCCTTGCCCACACTCATAAAAGCCTATAAAAAAGGTACCAGGGGCATTTCATGGGGCCCCCTACTGACCCCGGGCCATCGGGCAATGCCCTAGTGCTTGAATGGTCAGTCCGCCCCTGGACTGTAGCCACCAATGGTGGCACGGGTAGGGCGTCGCAAGCACCCCCTACCTGGAAATACAAAATCAAGTATATACGTGATTTTGTGCAGCCAGCCCTGCCACCCTGTAGCAGTACTTCTGCTATAGGGCGGTTGGGAAGTGGTTAAATAGGACAGCCTCACCAGGGTTGTTCAGTAGATTAAGTTGTGTAACTGAGTAAATCATATTATAGACATGTATCCACAGTCTACGGGCCACCAGGCAAGACCACCATATGTGGTGCATAGTGCCCTCAGCCTTGCAGCCTCTGAAAAAAAAGCATCATAGCCGTGGAGGTATTTTGCCAGGTAAAGTACCAGCGGGAAAGGACCTTCTAGGAATTTTCCAAGGACTGAATGTTGCGGGAGCATTTTGCAACTGATTGCCAAATTGGCGCCCAGTCTTCTGGTGCCAAAGTTTCTTGAAGGTCTTTTTCCCCTGGAGCACAGTACACAGGCAAGGATTAAGAAACATGGTTTCAGAGAGCTTTGTACACAGATAGGGCTTCTCTAGTGTTAGCAGATGATTTGCATCAAAATGATTTCTCAGAAAAATAAAGCATGGAGACAAGGATGGATGGAGGAGTTTGTTTTGAATATTAAAATGATTTCTATATAATTTTTGGTTTGTGGTACTCAGATGCAGTGCAGTTCCACTTTAACTCCCCTTTAACCCCTTTGCGTCGAGAGTATGTAAATATGTATATACAGTCAGGTCCATAAATATTGGGACATCAACACAATTCTAACATTTTTTGGCTCTATACACCACCACAATGGATTTGAAATGAAACGAACAAGATGTGCTTTAACTGCAGACTGTCAGCTTTAATTTGAGGGTATGTACATCCAAATCAGGTGAACGGTGTAGGAATTTCAACAGTTTGGATATTTGCCTCCCACTTGTTAATGGACCAAAAGTAATGGGACAATTGGCTTCTCAGCTGTTCTATGGCCAGGTGTGTGTTATTCCCTCATTATCCCAATTACAATGAGCAGATAAAAGGTCCAGAGTTCATTTCAAGTGTGCTATTTGCATTCGGAATCTGTTGCTGTCAGCTCTCAAGATGAGATCCAAAGAGCTGTCACTATCAGTGAAGCAAGCCATCATTAGGCTGAAAAAACAAAACAAACCCATCAGAGAGATAGCAAAAACATTAGGCGTGGCCAAAACAACTGTTTGGAACATTCTTAAAAAGAAGGAACGCACCGGTGAGCTCAGCAACACCAAAAGACCCGGAAGACCATGGAAAACAACTGTGGTGGATGACCGAAGAATTCTTTCCCTGGTGAAGAAAACACCCTTCACAAAGTTGGCCAGATCAAGAACACTCTCCAGGAGGTAGGTGTATGTGTGTCAAAGTCACCAATCAAGAGAAGACTTCACCAGAGTGAATACAGAGGGTTCACCACAAGATGGAAACCATTGTTGAGCCTCAAAAACAGGAAGGCCAGATTAGAGTTTGCCAAACGACATCTAAAAAAGCCTTCACAGTTCTGGAACAACATCCTATGGACAGATGAGACCGACATCAACTTGTACCAGAGTGATGGGAAGAGAAGAGTATGGAGAAGGAAAGGAACTGCTCATGATCCTAAGCATACCACCTCATCAGTGAAGCATGGTGGTGGTGGTACTGTCATGGGCGTGGGCATGTATGGCTGCCAATGGAACTGGTTCTCTTGTATTTATTGATGATGTGACTGCTGACAAAAGCAGCAGGATGAATTCTGAAGTGTTTCGGGCAATATTATCTGCTCATATTCAGCCAAATGCTTCAGAACTCTTTGGATGCCGCTTCACAGTGCAGATGGACAATGACCCAAAGCATACTGCAAAAGCAACCAAAGAGTTTTTTTAAGGGAAAGAAGTGGAATGTTATGCAATGGCCAAGTCAATCACCTGACCTGAATCCGATTGAGCATGCATTTCACTTGCTGAAGACAAAACTGAAGGGAAAATGCCCCAAGAACAAGCAGGAACCAAAGACAGTTGCAGTAGAGGCCTGGCAGAGCATCACCAGGGATGAAACCCAGCGTCTGGTGATGTCTATGCGTTCCAGACTTCAGGCTGTAATTGACTGCAAAGGATTTGCAACCAAGTATTAAAAAGTGAAAGTTTGATTATTCTGTCCCATTACTTTTGGTCCCTTAATAAGTGGGAAGCACATATGCAAACTGTTGTAATTCCTACACCGTTCACCTGATTAAATTAAAGCTGACAGTCTGCAGTTAAAGCACATCTTGTTCGTTTCATTTCAAATCCATTGTGGTGGTGTATAGAGCCAAAAAGGTTAGAACTGTGTCGATGTCCCAATATTTATGGACCTGACTGTAGAAAAAGTGCAGCGCTAGAAGTATTCAGACAAATTCATGGTAGCAATGTTCATAGAAGGGTAATAAGTCCACAATATATGAGCTCAAGGTGATATATTGATCCCACTATTGATATTGATACAACTGTAGCCAGCCTGTACCCTGAAAAGGACCCCCTGGCAGACCTTCATTTTGCTGATACATTGCGCATTTTCTTTGCGCTTCCGGTGAGTGCGCATTTTACACATACCCTGCCCCTCCCGATTTTTATTTGAACCACGACCGTGCGATCAATATATCACCTTGAGCTCATATATTGTGGACTTATTACCCTTCTATGAACATTGCTACCATGAATTTGTCTCTGAATACTTCTAGCGCTGCACTTTTTCTATATACATGTCTTTTGAAAGGTTTATGGTTTCCTTTACTGTGCTTAGCTGCTTTTACGAATATATTGTGAGCGCTCATTGAGTTTTTCTATCTATGTAAATATGTGGCCTCCCGGTATGCAGGCCTTGAAGCTGAGAGGCCGCATATTGGTGTACCCAAATGTAAATAAACCTGTGCTGAGAGCAGGCACCCTGCGATCTCCTGGCACAGTTACCGGCGCTGTGACAGCCAATCACATGATCATAAACCGCACCCCACCTCCCGACATCAGAACCCTCTTGAAGGGCTGGGAGGCGCGGCATTAAGGGGTTAAGTATCACTTGCAACGTTTCTCTTATAGAAGTTGTAACGTATATCTTTCGGCATTCAAAATGTGACCATCTGTTGAATCTGATTACAGATGGGAAGGCCTTGAAAAACAATGGTGAAAATTGGGAAAACACATTTTTCCCATTTTTTTCCAAAGCCGTTTTTTTGGGGGAAGGGGTTTCCAGAATTTTTTTTTTAAAAAAAGTGTGGAATATGTTCTTTTACAATGATAAATTCTATATCTATGACATAGTGTTCAAATTATATAACATGAAGACCTTAATAAAAGATTTCTGAAACTTTATGTCTTAAATTATTGCAAGTTCTCTCAGCTGAAGATAAGCAAATCCTGGAATACAATTCAAGTAGCACTGTACTTCTCAGTGCAGCTCTCAAACAAGAAAAATATTACCGTATTTTTCGCCGTATAAGATGCACCTGACCATAAGACGCACCTAGGTTTTAGAGGCAGAAAACAGGAAAAAAAAAATTCTGAACTAATGGACTGCAGACACAGTACAGGAGATGACCAGAGACTGCGGACAGCACAGGGGTGACCAGAGACTGCGGACAGCACAGGGGTGACCAGAGACTGCGGACAGCACAGGGATGACCAGAGACTGCGGACACTGCGGACAGCACAGGGATGACCAGAGACTGCGGACAGCACAGGGATGACCAGAGACTGCGGACAGCACAGGGATGACCAGAGACTGCGGACAGCACAGGGATGACCAGAGACTGCGGACAGTACAGATGACTGCTGACCTTTGGGGAGGGGGGGGAGCGGGTACCTGAATTTGACAGGTACCCGCTCTTACTTCCGCAGAGTTTTTGTTTGATCTTACCTGTTCCTCGATCCAGCCGCGCGCTGTCTTCCCGGCTTCTGTAATGGCGCTCGGCATGACAGCCGGGTGCCCAGTGCGCATGAGTGAGAAGCACTTGCGCTTTGCGATTGGTCCAGCGGCTTCTGGGATCTGTCAAGTGTCCCAGGTACCGCCTTACCATTCACAAAAAGCACCGCTTCTTGCGCATGCGCACTTGGCACCCGGCTGTCATGCCCAGCGCCCACACTACAGAAGCCGGGAAGACAGCACGCCGCTGGATAGAGGAACAGGTAAGGTCCCGCTGCAGAGCTGAGCGGCCGGCCCGGTATTCTGACACGGCCGCGGTGGAAATACCGGACCGGCCGCTCCATATTCGCTCCATAAGACGCACTGACATTTCCCCCCCAGTTTTGGGGAAGAAAAAGTGCGTCTTATACGGCGAAAAATACGGTAATTTCTGCTACTAGAGGTCACTGCAGGGTGAAGGCTCCAGGTTAGTTTGCTTGTGAGCTCCATCTAGTACCTCCTACAGTTGGGTGATTGTTGGAAGATGATGATAGATGTTATTAGATGATGATTTCTGTCCTCCTCTCAGACCTTAATTGATAGGTTTAGGTGGCAAATTAGTTTGTCTTTATAATTTTAAAAATGTTCTCCACCCAGGGGCGGACTGACCATTTGGAAACTCGGGCACTGCCCGAGGGCCCGGGGTCAGTAGGGGGCCCCATGAGATGCCCCTGGTACCTTTTTCATAGGCTTGAGTTTGGGCAAGGACACAGGGGCCCCATGATCCCCTATTGCCCGGGGGCCCCATGAGTTGTCAGTCCGCCCCTGTCTCCACCACCACAGCATAATGTTTACCTATAGTGTGCTCAGTAAATTGGTGTTTCTTTTCCTCCTCTTACACCTTAGGTGTTCCCACCCACCTTTTGTCTACTCCAACTTCCTCTGTTACCGTCTGCATAATATAAAATAAATATAACCCAGCAGGGATGTTGAAAGCACCTCATAATGGGCACAGAAATTACAGTTCAGGAAGGGTGAGAACCCCTCATTACGGGCACAGCAGGTAGGTGTGCAGACCTGGCAACTAAGCCAGCATCCACCAAAGTGTCATTTTTAGGTGGACTAATCCTTTAACCACTTCAAGTCCGGACACTTTCACCCCCTTCCTGTCTAGGGCAATTTTCAGCTTTCGGCGCTATCACACTTTGAATGACAATTATGCGGTCATGCAACACTGTACCCATATGAATTTTTTAGCATTTTTTGAGACAGATAATTTGGTGGTATTTACTCACCACTGGAATTTTTATTTTTTTTACTATATAAATGAAAAAGTCCCAAACTTCACTGCAAAATTGTATAAGAAAAACAACCTTTCTTCATAAATCTTGGCCAAAATTTATTCAGTTATCTTTTTAGTAAAAAAAAAAATAACCCAAATTAGTTTATAACCAAAAATTATAATTTTTCTAAAAAATTGTTAACATTTTTATATTATTATTTATGTTTTTTTTTACATACAGTCACCATAGTGACACTGTACTACTTATGGGGGGTGATGAAGGTTTTTTTTACACGGATTTACAAGGATAAAGGCTGTAAAAGCAATCATTGGAGAAAGAGATTCTCTCTGGCTGCATTCTTGCAGCCATTGAGAAATACTGTGTGAGCTGTGATTGGTCACAGCTTGTCACATGGCACAAGGCTGTTGTGAATAGCCTCATACCATGTGACCTCTGTGATCATTCACAGATTTCACACGTAGTAAGCAATGATGTCAGAAGTAACATCTTGCTTACTACTATTCATGTGATCACCGATTGGCCAATCAGTGCTCACATGATTGGGACCACACACAGAGGTCCCGTTAGCGGGCACCAGATCGCGGTGCTACATGCTCCTAGGTAGCACGCACAAGCAGGGAGCGGGGAGGACGTTTATAAGCAGCAACCCACCCCTGCACTGCCACCGTCCGGCTGTTTATATACAACGGCAGGACGGAAGGTGGTTAATCCCAAATGACACACTCAAACGTTTGTGAAAAAACACTTTATTTAAGCATTTGGATTGAAACTCTTGGTCTTGGCTAGACTTCCCATCCGAGCCCCAGCTGAACCAAAATTATAAAATTGCTTTTCTGTCCCTGATTATTCTTAATTCTCTTAGCAATTATTCATTATTCTTCTCTGTATAAAGGATTGTTACTAAGGGAACAAGGCTCCTAATTTTACCATTGTATAACATCTCAGAGCTACCAATTTGTGTCCCATGTCCTTCCGATAGACATCCATCACCAAGACGTATATTAATGTAGACCGGGCCCCGCTAATGCGCCTTTCACGTTGAGTCCACGGAGCTCGGCGTGTGATCCAATTGTTTACCTTTCCCGCATTAACACCCCGCTCGGATCGTAATCACTTTTGGGGCTCCTGTTCTCCTCCGGATCTTCAAGCTTCGATCACTTAACTGACCTTGAGAAGTTCATTAACATCGCTTGGCGTGAGACATTAATGCGCGATGTGAAACCAGAAAGTGCGAGATGATTTGGGCAGCAGACGGCGTGCGTTCCGTTTCAGAAATTAAAAGTTATTTATGACATTTTAAGATCTGCTGCCTCTCTGTATTTCCTCAATCGTTTCGATGGATGACTCTCCAGTCTCTAATGACCATTAATAACATCTGTTTCCACCACCCCGTCTTCCGAACGAAAATCCATCACGGGCCATTCGCATCTCGCGAGGAAAATCAGAATTGCCATGTTTTATGGATGGCACGGCTACCTGTCAAGTCCCTCGAGGACAAAACCTGAGCTGCAGAAGTACAAAGAAACGGCAGTTGTGTTTCATAGAATTACTCAACCACTTACACCTGTTTAGCTGTAAATCGCCGTCCGTTTTGTTCTCACACCAGAAATTGACAAACTGATATATATTTTTAATGGCATGGATGACTTTTATAGAGGTTGTTAATAAAATATCAGCTGCTGCGCTGGGCTCTCGTTCTATTGATGTCGTATGTAATGCCCCGAACAGGATGAAGCCGAAACTTAGCCGGAGGGTTCTCCAGGATCTTCGACTTGTTGATAAATGATGATGTTATCCATTGCAATTATAGTATCTTTCTGTACTTTTTTTTTTATTTGAAATGTACATTCCCTGTGTGTACAAAACAGTCATACACATGTGGAAAAACTCAAAAAGGTATGTTCTACCTTTTGCACCTATATGGCAAAAAGAGAAAAATGTGCATTTATTATTTTTGCGCTGGAGCATTGCAACTGTGATCAATGCAATGTACAGGCTCCTGCAGACTATTCCTCCAGCCCCAGGTCCATACAGAGGAAGAGACATCCGGTTATGGAGCTGGAGGAAGCAATCAACAGATTACCCGTGTTCCATTGAGAACTACAAGTCCCATTACCACATTGGCAGATGGGACTTGTTTTTTTTTTCCGTTCATAGATCCTGTGAATAGATGACATGGGTGGGTCGAGCCACACTGAATTAATTAAAACATCTACGGAATGTTACATGGAGAACAACCCCACAATTCAGTTAGGGTGCAGGAGGAAAAGTTTGAGGTCAGAGCTGTGGAATAGCTCCATGTTGCAGCATAGTGGCTGAATGGTTAGTACTTCTGCCTGGCAATACTAGGGCTGTTGGTGTGAATCCCAACCATGGCACCATCTACATGGAGTTTGCATGTTCTCCCTGTGCCTGTGTGGGTTTCCTGCAGTTTCCTCCCACACTCCAAAGACATGTAGGTTAATTGGCTCCTGTCTAAATTGTCCCTAATATGTGTGTGTATGAATGTGAGTTAGGGACCTTATATTGTACACCCCTTGAGGGTTAGGGACTGATGTGAATGTACAATATATATGTAAAGTGCTGCGTAAACTGACGGCGCTATATAAGTACCTGAAATAAATAATGTTTCCTGTTACACTGTAAATATGGGTATAAAATGAACCATGGAATGAAAGGTGGACCATGCCATTAAATACCAACATGGCGCTGATTTGTGTCTAATGTCATGCACCTCCAGTAATGTTGTGTACCTTATCCAGTGCAGAAAATGTAACAAAGGATCTTATGTTGGTGAAACAGGACAGAAGTTGCAAACAAGGATGAATTTGCACAGACATACCATCAAGGAACATAAAGAAGGTAACTTCTGCACACCTGTGGGCCACCATTTCGCACAACCAGGCCACACTTTGGGAGACCTCAATGTTTTAGTTCTTAACCTCCTCGGCGGTCTGATTATTTCCGATTTTTTGTGCTCAAAGCGGTACATTTTTTGCATGGAAATACGTAGTTATTTATTGTAGGCTAGAAGACAGTATTAGAGTATCCTCCTGCGCTCAATATAGGCACAATCCCTATCTGAAACAGCTGCTGTCACTTAAAACTTAACCATTCAGTAACCAATAATATATATCTTAAACAGTGAAGCGCTAAATTAAATAAATAAATAAATACATATATTAGGTGCCGTCAGTGAATATAAGTGCTTTAGTGTAATAATTCCTTGTAAATCACTGGAACATGCCAACCAATGGTGTATATAACTGGAAACAAAACTGAATACTTAATATATCAGTGAGAAATGCTAAATAAATATATAAATAAATATAAACACACCAGTGATGAATAATCTAATACCTCCGATAAAAACTTCTTCTCATTCACAGAAGAATATAAATAAATAAAAAGGTGCTCATTAAGTGAACAAATGATCACAAACTCAAGAAGTGAACAAGTGTATAAAAAAACTTTTCTACGTGCATATACCAAAAATGTATATACATATAACATATATATAAATAAATAAAGTCCATGCAGGTGTAGCTTGTGAAAAAACGTGGTCTTCACTTCTAGTGTGCACACACACACAAATCCTCAAATAGCAGCAGTGCCTGCTCACCTCCCCGCACTGACCCTCAAGGGGCCAAAAGGCTACTTAATCTCCTCTATGGCCAATCTTTCTCCTTCGGTAGCTCAGCAGGGGATCACAGGGTCTCCACTTCTCCTCCACTCATACGTCATATAGGACATAAAACAGAGCTCCCATAGTGTAATATTGTTTATTATAGGCCACTTCTATTGTATATTGGTTGTACTCACAATTTTCTCCCTGGTTACACAGACTTTCCACCTGATCCCATAGGTGTATCACATGAATCACAGGGGAACACCAATATGGCCGCTCCGTTCGGACATGCGT